ATGGGGGGGGGGGTTCTGCTCACCAAATTTGTGCCAAAGGCGCTACCTTACTTTGGGGTCAGGGGGCATGCTCCCCCTCAAAAATTTTGAAATATAGTCCCCCTGAAACACTATTTCCTGTATTCTGATGGGCAAATTTTGCTGTCACAAAGGGTTTCAGCTAGATTTTGAAGGGGCGACGCCCCCAACTTTTTTTCCAAGGGGGCGACCGCCCCTCTTCCCCCTGTGCCGTCACTGATTCTATCACTATCTACAACAACAGCCTATGAATTAAATCTCTCAGTAATATAGCTGTCTTTGAATCAAAAATGCCAGACTTGTAGCAACTCTCACAATTACTATATTGATAATGACCCTTGTACTGCCTTGAGTCTTTGATTTAATTATGACTTTTTCTAACATAGTTATACATATGGTGAACCAGTGCAAGGCAAATTGACAGTGAAAACAAATGTACATGGTCTTGGATATTACAAACCATATGAAGGACAGCCAGATATTCAGGAAATGGATGTAAGTGTGACGTAAAATATAAAATATTTATACAATATATAGACCAAAATTTGTGCATAATAATTTCATAATTTGTATAATAATTCATTTGGTTCATTTGGGTAATCTACAGACATGATTAGCTTAATGTTGAAAAAACATGTATATTGATTACCTAATTACCAGATATTCAGGAAATGGATGTAAATACAATATGACATGAAATAAATATTTATTTGAAGATGTTTCTACATTAGTTTACTTTGAACAGTTGTTTCTTTCATCAATACTGTATACAAATGTTACTGTTCAGACCAACTGAGGTGTGCTGTAATAAATAAGTGCTTACATAGCCAATTTATGAACCACTCATGGCCAACATTGCTACTTTTTGATCCAGGACATCATCGTAGATAGATTTTAGAGTCAAATAGACTTCTTGTATGTAAGTTGGACTTGCCCGTTTCGATGGATCTGGTTAATCTCTTTATGAGAAAAACGGGTGGTCGTCACGCAACATGTGTTTGAATTCTATGTAAACAAGTTGTATACGTAGCTACTCATCCCATTTCAAACAGGATGGAGCATGATAACCACCTCCTTTGAAGCTTTCTAAGTAGGTAGGCTTTGCGTAACACATACTCACAGATGACCTTAATAGTTTTCATCCAACTTACGTAACTGTGTAATTTTTCTTTCTAGATTGATGGTTCTACAAAGTACACTGTATGCATTAAACCTATAGTCGGTAGTGATCTCTCTAACTACTTCCGTGGTATCTTATACATTGAAGCATCTATTACCAGTATTGATGGTAGCACTACTGTCGGAACTGATGACACTACTCCTGTACATACAAAACTAGTTGATATGAAGTTCACTAAAGACACCAGGAAGCATTTCAAGCCTGGTCTGCCTTATAAGGGAAAGGTATAAGTCTTAATAACTAAACATTGATAAATTTAGATTATCAGAACTTCAGGGGATCTATTATTTCATACATGATTGCACAATTTTGAAATGATTTTAGATAATTTGAGATTATTATGAGAATACTGCAATGTATGTAGGAAGGCGATAGTGTCGACTAATACGTAGTGAAGGTTGAGTGTTCCTGTATTGCCTTAATGGTGCATATTTTGCAGTATTATTGTGATAACCTTATTATTAATCCCTGTTCAGGTATGAGGTGTGAGATCTTTGGCTGATTTACTTCAAACTTGGTAGAAGGATAGTGTAGTGGATGCATGTCACTTTATTTGCTCTTTCAACCTTCCTTTATGACTTCCATAGATAAAATTTGCGTTCAACTAAGGGTACATGGTTTGAATGAATTTGAAATGCATTATGTCATATCCTGTCTCTTAAAACATGCAGAATCAAAATGTGAACGCTCACCGAGTTATGCAAAAATCCACACTATGCAGAGTGTAATCACGATTTACTACGACCTATCTATTTAACCAAAAAATCAACTGGTGGTAATATTCACTAAAAATTTACATGATTTAATGCCAGTAATTAATTATGTGTATGACATATTGAATTAAAAATCCCTGACCCGACATTTGTTGCCTGCTGCCCTTGTTTGAATGTGACATAAAATATGTGCTGTCTCTTTTCCAATGCAGAAATATATGTGTGATTCCTTTGAACACGTCAGAAACCCTTTCAAACATACAGGGTGTATACAAATGACTACCGGGATATATATTATTCTTTGCACTGCCTGATATATCAATTGATTTTAATGTACAAAAGATATTATATTGTAGAAGAAAATCTCCCTCTTCTTATATTAACATAAATATGTTCTGTTGTTTTTTATAGCTTTATGTATATCATCCCGATTCAAGCCCAGCAGATGGTGTTGATGTCATAGTCAAAGTTGTAGTCAATGGTGGCAACTTTTACACTAAAAAATTTGTATCAGAGAAAGGGTTTATTAAATTTGAAATTCCATCCTTACCCTTGACAGCCCGCATTGTATGGGTTGATGTAAGTGTGATTTCTTCTCTATGCATGTGTTGTGTCCATAATCCTCGGGGGCGGACATCCGGGCATTTTCACGGCCTGGCAACCCGCGGCGGTGAAAACAAAGGCCCAAAACTCGCAGAAAACGGTACTTTGGGATGATTGTTGAGACTCCTCTGAACAGTGCAACAAGATTAGCCCTACGTGTGTAACATATATAAATTTGATTGTTCGGGATTACTTCAAAGTTGAGTTTGTATTGTTTTCTCGAATTTTCACCGGCTCGACTGGCGTTCCACAGCAGCGCGCACAGAGCCCATAGAAATGCATGGTACAGTAGTGCGCGTCTTAGCAACGTGGAACGTCTGTGACGTAGCTCCGCCCCCGAGGATAGTCAAAAGTTTATGGCAGATTTAGCCTAATAACTATGTGCTTTCCAAGGTTTTTAAAACCCCAGTATGCCTCGAATGGTCAAGTGCATAGTTCCGTGTGCAAGCCACACAACCTCTGTGACCACTGAATATGAATAACTTTCAGTTTGCTTTCAATCACTTTTTAATCCTGAGATTCTGTTATATACGGTGTATCTTTCATTTACTTTTGAATTGCTAGGTCAATTTAACATTAATTTCAAACAGTAAACTTAGTGCTTTGAATCTGAATGAGTTCAGCTTAAAATGTAGTGGTCGTGTTCAAATTTTGTATGTGTCACTCTTTATATTAAATGATCTGCTTGTCTCAATGCAGCTAAAAAAATACAAAGTACTATGTATTGTGCAGTTAAAAAGACTGTCCAACAAGGTGAACAGTAGAAGTCTAGAAAAAAGAAACAATCTGGACTGCTGATTTGCATGCCAAACAGTTTTCATAAAATAATTTGTATTGTATATTTTTAGCCAGTTTTTTTATCCAGATTGCTAAATATTATTTTTCAGTGGTTCTCAGAAATAACAAGCAACATTATTGTTAAAAATATAATTCCATACTTTTTTTGCAGGCAATAGTGACTGCTGTTAAAGGTGAATCTGTTGGTGACGATTATTTCGCCTCTTATATGTCTATAACCAGCTGGTATGCTCCTAATAAATGCCATGTTATGTTAGAAAATAGCAATGAAAATCTGCAGGTGAGAATGATCGGTATTCATTTCAAAAAGGTTTTTGATCTTGTTGAATACAACCAGTTACCGTGCACATACATATATTTTAAATTATCACTCTGTCTTGCAGATTGGTGACACAGCAGAGATATCTGTATTGTCCACATGTCCATGTAATTTCTCTCTGCATTATGAAGTTGTGTCCAGAGGCAACATAATAACATCTGGAATACACAATGCAGCACATGATTTGAGTAAAAGAGAAGTGGATAGTAATGTTGTCACATTTCTTAATGGTGTACCAATAGCAGAAGGTGAGTATGCCTATTTGGTACTACCCCCTCAACATTCTGTACAGATGTGCTTTTGTTTTTATGCACAAGCTCTTATTCTAATAAAGTAATAGTAGCATTCTCACATTTCTTAATGATGTAACCAGTTGGTATGGTAAAGTATGCTATTATTCCATACCAAACATAGACATAATCCGGGGTGCTCTCATGGATTGTGGTTCTGTTTGTTTAGTAATTCTTTTTTTTTTTCTGCAAAATTCTGTCTCAAAATTAAGTCCAAATATGATACATAGACAAGTTTATTGTAATACATCAATAAAATTAGTTTTTGTTTGTTCTGACCCATTTAAAGATAGTTAACTGGGCAGCCATTTTGTTTTTATTGAAAATTAGCAATATTCGTCAGTTTTAGTGGAATTCTGCTTATATTGTCCGGTTAGCCTAGATCTAAACTTTGTACAAGGACAAGTGGGTTCTATTACATCAACGAAAGTTGATTTGTGTTGCCATCTATTCAAAGATGTCAACGCTTTTGCAAATTCTGCTTATAGCTCGTACTCACATAGTCCAATTAGATCTAAATTCAGTATAAAGACAATTGTATTGTACCACATCAATGAAAATTTATCTTTGTGTGACCAAATTCAAGATGGCTGACTGGGAGCCATTTTGTTTTCGAGGAAAATCTGCAATTTTTTTGGGTACAATTCTGCTTATATTCCAAGTTATCATTGTCCAGTTAGACAATAAAAGTTGATCTGTGTCAAGATCTAATCCAAGATGAACAAAATAGACGTTACAGACTCCTACATGTTGAATTGTCTTATACTCCAAAATATTTAATTTAGTTCACAGTGTAGTTCATGCACTTGTTCAGAAGAGCATATACATGCATTATCCTCATCAGTAAAATTGGCAAAATAAAATCTAGTGAAAAATTACTTTGACTCCTGTGTGCAAAGCACACAATGGGAGTCTTTGCGGTTAGTATGTGTCTCTTCCACTGATATCCATGCATATTAATTACCTAATGTACATATTAATTAGTCGATTTTAAGCATTTTCACTTGCTTCTCATGTACCATTGAACAAATTTCAATGAAACTTGATACATAAAAGCTGTGGGATAATGCACTGGCCTGATTACTTTTTGGTTAAATCCATGCATATTAATCACCTAATTTTCGTATTAATTAGGCAATTTTAAGCATATTCACTTCATTTGGTTGAAACCATGCATATTATTTATTATTATAAATATGTACATATTTTGTACATAAAATAAATTTATACGTATTTCAATGAACACAATTTTTGCTTTATGTGTTTTGAAAATGTGCTTCGAATAGTAAATACAGTATTCCATATTTGTACTTCTTGCCTCCAATACCTTCAGTACACAGTTTTTCTAAGCTTTCTTCGATTTTAGGTTTTATTTCCTCAAATATTGCATGACTGTTGTTTTGATTTGATTTGACTTTTATTGTTACAAGGTATAAGTCATCAGACTACTGAGGCACAACCAAGTACATGTGAGACCAATCTTATGTTGAATATCACCTATGACATGGCACCAATGGCAAGGTTACTTGTATACTATGTGAGAGAGAATAATGAAGGTGTGGCTGATAGTATTACAATACCTGTTAAACCAAGTTTTGAAAATACGGTAAGTCATTCATATCAAATATGAAGTTAAATTTTTGATGTCTGTAAAAATAGGAATTAATGCAGTTGGGTCTATATCATCATTTTCCTAATGTCAGTGGATTTTTAGCTCCGCTGTCGACTTTATCGAGCAGAGCTTATCATATGAGTGATAGTCAATTGTTGTTAGTCCATGTCAACTTTTTACTTTTTTGACTTCTTCTTGGAAACTACCATTCTTATTGCTTTGATACTTTGTGTATATGTACCTTGGGAAGACCTCTCTTGGATTTGTTCATTTCGTGATGATATCTCCAATTTTTAAAATTTTGATGAATATTTTTGTGATTTTTGGTAAAAAGTGATATTTTCAACTTCTTGTGAAAACCGCTTGTCTGATTGCTTTGATACTATACATATAGGTTCCTCGATCAGGTAGACCTTTTTCAGATTTGTTCATTTCATGATGATATCTTCAATTCTTTAATTTTAATGAATATTTTTGACATTTTTGGTAAAAGTGATATTTTCAACTTCTTGTTAAAAACCGCTAGCTTGATTGCTTTGATATTGTACATATAGATACTTCTTGTAGACCTCTCTCAGATTGTTCCTTTTCTAATATCTTCACTCTTGCACCTGGTGACATTGACTTCTCAACTCTGTGGCACCTGGTGACATAGACTTTTCAACTCTCTGGCACCTGGTGACATAGACTTTTCAACTCTTGCACCTGGTGACATAGTCTTTTCAACTCTCTGGCACCTGATGACATTGACTTCTCAACTCTCTGGCACCTGGTGACATTGACTTTCCAACTCTCTGGCACCTGGTGACATAGTCTTTTCAACTCTCTGGCACCTGGTGACTTAGACTTTTCAACTCTCTGGCACCTGGTGACATAGTCCTTTCAACTCTCTGGCACCTGGTGACAATGACTTCTCAACTCTCTGGCACCTGGTGACATTGACTTTCCAACTCTCTGGCACCTGGTGACAAAGTCTTTTCAACTCTCTGGCACCTGGTGACATAAACTTTTCAACTCTTGCACCTGGTGACATTGACTTCTCAACTCTCTGGCACCTGGTGACATTGACTTCTCAACTCTCTGGCACCTGGTGACATAGTCTTTTCAACTCTCTGGCACCTGGTGACTTAGACTTTTCAACTCTCTGGCACCTGGTGACATAGTCTTTTCAACTCTCTTGCATCTGGTGACATTGACTTCTCAACTCTGTGGCACCTGGTGACATAGACTTTCCAACTCTCTGGCACTTGGTGACATAGTCTTTTCAACTCTTTGGCACCTGGTGACATAGACTTTCAACTCTCTGGCACCCCTGTGACAGACTTTTCAACTCTGGCACCTGGTGACATAGACTTTTCAACTCTGGCACCTGGTGACATAGACTTTTCAACTCTCTGGCACCCCTGTGACAGACTTTTCAACTCTGGCACCTGGTGACATAATCTTTTCAACTCTCTGGCACCTGGTGACATAGTCTTTTCAACTCTCTGGCACCTGGTGACATACACTTTTCAACTCTCTGGCACCTGGTGACATACACTTTTCAACTCTTTGGCACCTGGTGACACAGATTTTCAACTCCCATGCACCTGTTGACATAGACTTTTCAACTCTGTGGCACCTTGTGACATTGACTCCTCAACTCTGTGGCACCTGGTGACATAGACTTTTCAACTCTCTGACACATGGTGACATAGTCTTCTCAACTCTCTGGCACCTGGTGACATAGTCTTTTCAACTCTCTGGCACCTGGTGACATAGACTTTTCAACTCTCTGACACATGGTGACATAGACTTTTCAACTCTCTGAAACATGGTGACATAGACTTTTCAACTCAGGCACCTGGTGACATAGACTTTTCAACTCTCTGAAACATGGTGACATAGACTTTTCAACTTTCTGGCACCTGGTGACATTGAATCATCAATTCTCTGGCACCTGGTGACATAGACTTTTCAACTCAGGCACCTGGTGACATAGACTTTTCAGCTCTCTGGCACATGGTGACACAGACTTTTTAACTTTCTAGCACCTGGTGGCAGACTTTTCAACTCTCTGGCACCTGGTGACATAGACTTTTCAACTTTCTAGCACCTGGTGACATAGCCAGTAATGAAGTTACAGCTCATCTACAAACTATGACAAGCTACATCTTGTTGTGACTAGTAAATATTCAGAAAATTGCCATTTGATACATTATTATGCATAAATTTCTGTGACTTTGAGAAAGGAAAGGTGCTATTTATTTATCATTTGAAAAGAGTATTAACCTTTTCACTTTTCAAACCTTTTTGCAAGTATCATTTTAACAGCATAGTTAATAGTGCAACAGAAGTTTCTCTCAAAACTTTGATAAGCAACATGTTACTGTTGCCAGCTACTAGTAAATATTCAGTCAGAAAATGTACTTTTAGTACGGAATACATGTTTTTAAAATTAAATATATTGTGAGAAAAAGCTGGGCGTCATTTTATTTTATTCAGTAATTAAAACCTTGTGCGAAATTTAATCGAAAACAATGTCTGACTAGCAACAGTAAATATTGGTGTGTTTATAACATATAAAAGCATGCATTTACAAATGGAAACCAGTTAAATTATCTGCATTGTTTTTTTTAAATTTTAGATTTCTATGAGTCTTTCAAAAGATAAGACGTATCCTGGGGAGCGTATTGAAATGAATTTCAATACAAAGCCAGGATCCTGTGTTTGTATTGCTGCTGTTGACAAGAGTGTTCATCTAATGAGACCTGGATATCAATTATCAAAGCAAAAGGTAATGTATGCTTACTGTTTTGTATTATAATCTGTTATAATATACTGTGAAATACTTTATTTTAGCTTTTTATTAATTTTCACTATTTTCACTGAAGGAATGATTCTTATTTATTATTAGTGGACTTACATGTGTAATGGTTCCATATTTGGAATTCACATTTCCTAATATGGTAGGATGAAAATACCCCGTAAAATACCGAAAAATTGCGGCATGCTGTAACTTATGGCGTTACGATTACAGATGTATAATAATAAGTAGTATGTGCTCAAATTAGTGTTGCAGAGAATAATGTTTTTGGTGTGTCTCAGACATGAGTCACTACAAATAATTTAATACAGTGTTAACACATGTTATAAACCTTGCCAGCTAGAATTCTTCTACATTATATTTTTGATATTACTTAGGTTTAAATATTTGTAAGTTTGGAAGTAGGAATGTGAAACTTGGGAAATATTATTCCATAAAAAAGACCCAATACCGAAATGATTATTTTTGTAGGTATTTGAAGAGTTAGAGGAGTATGATGTAACAGAAGAACAGTTTGAAGACACTGTTTTGTGGGGAGGAACAGCGCCATCTAGAGATGCTAAATACGCTTTTCACGTGAGTTAACAACAAGTGTCAAGTTCACATATGTGCATGTGCTTATTTTCTAAAGATGCTGTGAACTACCACTCTGTTAACACATCTCCAGCTGAAAGCTCCAAAAGCCTAAATGAATGGGAAAAAACAAACAAACAAACCTCCAGCTTGACTTTTTAGATTCGGATTTGAACCCATTTTGTCTAACATAGGCAAGTAATGGTAGTAATTGGTGTGATGCCATAAACTAGAGTGACTACTTCTGCTTTCCTCCTTGTTTTGCATTGCCCTTGGGGATTTCTGTGCTTCAGCAGGTAAAAGTGCAGTAAAACTAAATATTCTACAGGTATTACCCATAATGCTCAGCTGTCATGCATGTGAGTGAGTAATGAACAAGATGGCTAGCTGAATTTAACCTTTTACCTGTGATATTCAACTTTTTTCACCGTTCAGAAAATAACATAAATTTTTCAATGTATTTTCAATGTACATGTATTTTGTTGAATATTTCTATCAAAAATCTGTAGCCACCGGGAAATTATATATCATTTGAATAAAAATAGCAAATTACATATAAATAAATAAATGTTTGTGGAAAAAAATTAAGGCATTCAAAATATAATTCTGCAATTGTTTGGATTGTACAACAAATCTCAAATTAATTTAGTTTGTCCAGTATAAAGCAGTGTAAATTACCACTCTCTAAACTTAGTATAGTCTCTAAACTTAGTATGGTCTCTAAACTTAGTATGGTCTCTAAACTTAGTATAGTCTCTAAACTTAGTATGGTCTCTAAACTTAGTATGGTCTCTAAACTTAGTATGGTCTCTAAACTTAGTATGGTCTCTAAACTTAGTAGGGTCTCTAAACTTAGTATAGTTCATGATCTGATATTTTTGTTTTACCTTTCATGCACATCACGAATAGCAACATCAAATTTATAGTCAGTAGCAAGAAACACTGTACTTCTCAACTTCTCAATGGGAAACAATGTGTTAATCATATCATTTGGCCTGATAATTAAAACTTATTTTCATTTTCCTTATCACAGGGACAGCCAATTCCTATATTTACCTGTCTTTATAGGTAAAATCTCCTCTTTGGAACAAGTGGACAGACTTAAATTTGAACCCTGTGCAAGTTCATAAAATTAATTATGATAACAGATTCAGTACTGATAAATCATCAAATTGATGTTCTACTAAATATTTTATTGTCAGGAATGTGGATTGACAGTATTATCAGACGTTGTAGCATTGAATCATAGACAAGACAACAGTCATATATACACTCAAGGTACAGTTAAAGTTAAAGCAAACCATGTTTTTGTTGTATATAAGCATGTTTTATGTAGTTTCAGATTCATAAAATTACACATACACTTGAATAGTAATTGTATATTGGTTGACATGTAGGAAGCAGGTAAGAAGTATGGAGACTTACAAGATAAAAGCATTTTGTTCAAAACACAGTTGGCATGAATCAGTTGTGTATAATGTCACTATAAAAAACACAAAGATCATTAAACTGTTTCATTAATATTTGCTATTATCACAATTGTTTTAATAGACTGGCAAAGTCGGAACTCTTTCGCGATCATGCTAGTTTTCGTAATCATGCTAAAAAGGCTAAATTGACAATTAATTATATTTTACTATAAAACAAAAAAAAAGTCCTGAGTTTGCCAGTCTATTGTTTTAATTGAGGTACTGGTAGCACCTTGAGATTTGCTTTGAATAAGGTCGCCATTGTGGAGAAAGTACAGAAAAACCAAAAAAATAGATACCTCTTAGATAGATACATGTACATAAATGTTAATAGTTAATTTAGTGTTGACATATGTGCACATTGATGACCATATCAATCAGCCAATTTTACGTTATTCTTCAGATATCGCAAAATGCACTTATTCATTCTATGATACTTGATATGCTCTAGGGCAGTCCATCGGTGTATTTAGTTGAAGGATGAAATCTGTGTCCAATACACACAGCTCGCAGGAGTTCTAGCTAAGCTTTCATTGATTTCCAATATTTTGGCAAGAATGATTTCCATATACATTATATTTTTTTGCACAGACTATTACTCTTCTCTAAAAACATGTTTCTGTTTAAAAAAAATTCTTTTTTTTAAAGCAGAAGGGGGCGTCCAATCTAGCTTTCAGACCACACGTTCTGAGTCAAATATACCTACATTGCATCGGAGGAGAAGATATTTCTTTCCAGAAACTTGGATATGGAATTGTTTTAATACAAGGTACATTTAATATAAACTCTTTGTTTTATCATGCCTCTTTTTGTATCAGGTACAAGATTTGAGTCACTGAGGCAGACATGCGATTATTTTGACGAGGATTGCAGTAGTTTGAGGAGTTAATAATGGAGAACATATTCCTGGTTATCCTATCATATTAAGTTGATGCAGATTAGTGTGTGTATTCTTGATATACACTGTTTCCACTTGCCTCTGGCAATGAGAAACTTTTTAGCTCTGCTGTTGACTTTGTCGAGTGGAGCTTATCATATGAGTGATTGTTTGTCGTCATCATCGTCTGTGTCAATGTTTTACTTTTTTGCCTTCTTCTTGAAAACTACAAGCCTGAATGCTTTGATACCTGGTGTATATGTACCTTGGGTAGACCTCTCTTAGATTTGTTAATTTCATGATGATATCTTCAATTCTCTAATTTTGGTGAATATTTTTGTCATTTTTGGTGAAAAGTGATATTTTTGAATTCTTGTTGGTTTGAAGTCTGGTTGCTTGATACTATACATATTGTTCATTTTCTAATGATATCTTCAGTTCTTTAATTGAAATGTGCATTGCTAACAGCGGAGCTATCTCAGCCGACAGGCAGCTTGTTACTGTTGCAATCGTACATAAATTGATGCTTGATTCTGTCAATATACTGATTTAGAATACAGGAAATTTCTCTAAAATTTGTGATCAAGAATACCAAGGACAAAAATCAGTGGTGGCATTAGAATAGTTCTGCCCAGGAGTTGACATCTGAACTACTTGAGGATAATTGTGTCCAGAAGTTGAAATCTGTACTTCCTCAGGATAGTTCTATCTGGAAGTTGAAATTTGTACTGCCTGAGAATAATTCTGTTCAGGAGTTGACATCTGAACTACCTCAAGATAGTTCTGTCCTGGAGTTGAAACCTGCAATTCCCCAGGATAGTTCTGTCCATCAGGTGAAATCTGCAATTCCCCAGGATAATTCTTTCCAACAGTTGAAACCTGCAATTTCCCCAGGATAGTTCTATCCAACAGTTGAAATCTACAATCCCTCAGGATAGTTCTATCCAACAGTTGAAATCTGCAATCCCTCAGGATAGTTCTATCCAACAGTTGAAATCTACAATCCCTCAGGATAGTTCTATCCAACAGTTGAAACCTGCAATTCCCCAGGATAGTTCTGTCCAACAGTTGAAATGCTCAACCCCTCTAGATAGTTCTGTCCTGAAGTTGAAATCTGCAATCCCTCAGGATAGTTCTGTCTATCAGTTGAAATCTGCAATTCCTCGGGATAGTTCTGTCCTGAAGTTGAAATCTGCAACCACTCTGGATAGTTCTGTCCAAAAGTTGAAATCTGCAATCCCTCAGGATAGTTCTGTCCAACAGTTGAAATCTGCTATCCCTCAGGATAGTTCTGTCCTGAAGTTGAAATATGCAATTCCTCAGGATAGTTCTATCCAACAGTTTAAATCTACAATTCCCCAGGATAGTTCTGTCTATCAGTTGAAATCTGCAATTCCTCGGGATAGTTCTGTCCTGAAGTTGAAATCTGCAACCACTCTGGATAGTTCTGTCCAAAAGTTGAAATCTGCAATCCCTCAGGATAGTTCTGTCCAACAGTTGAAATCTGCTATCCCTCAGGATAGTTCTGTCCTGAAGTTGAAATATGCAATTCCTCAGGATAGTTCTATCCAACAGTTTAAATCTGCAATTCCCCAGGATAGTTCTGTCTATCAGTTGAAATCTGCAATTCCTCGGGATAGTTCTGTCCTGAAGTTGAAATCTGCAACCACTCTGGATAGTTCTGTCCAAAAGTTGAAATCTGCAATCCCTCAGGATAGTTCTGTACAACAGTTGAAATCTGCTATCCCTCAGGATAGTTCTGTCCTGAAGTTGAAATATGCAATTCCTCAGGATAGTTCTATCCAACAGTTTAAATCTACAATTCCCCAGGATAGTTCTGTCCATAAGGTGAAATCTGCAATCACTCAGGATAGTTCTGTCCAACAGTTGAAATCTGCAATTTCTCAGGATAGTTCTGTCCAACAGTTGAAATCTGCAATCCCTCAGGATAGTTCTATCCAACAGTTGAAATCTGCAATTCCTCAGGATAGTTCTATCCAACAGTTGAAATCTGCAATTCCTCAGGATAGTTCTATCCAACAGTTGAAATCTACAATTCCCCAGGATAGTTCTATCCAACAGTTGAAATCTGCAATCCCTCAGGATAGTTCTATCCAACAGTTGAAATCTACAATCCCTCAGGATAGTTCTGTCCAGCAGGTGAAATCTGCAATTCCCCAGGATAGTTCTGTCCAACAGTTGAAATCTGCAATCCCTCAGGATAGTTCTGTCCAACAGTTGAAATCTGCAATCCCTCAGGATAGTTCTGTCCAACAGTTGAAATCTGCAATCCCTCAGGATAGTTCTGTCCAACAGTTGAAATCTACAATCCCTCAGGATAGTTCTGTCCAACAGGTGAAATCTGCAATTCCCCAGGATAGTTCTGTCCATCAGGTGAAATCTGCAATTCCTCAGGATAGTTCTGTCCAACAGTTGAAATCTGCAATCCCTCAGGATAGTTCTGTCCAACAGTTGAAATCTGCAATCCCTCAGGATTTTTCTGTCCAACAGTTTAAATCTGCAATCCCTCAGGATTTTTCTGTCCAACAGTTTAAATCTACAATCCCTCAGGATAGTTCTGTCCAACAGTTTAAATCTGCAATCCCTCAGGATAGTTCTGTCCAACAGTTGAAATCTGCAATCCCTCAGGATAGTTCTGTCCAACAGTTGAAATCTGCAATCCCTCAGGATAGTTCTGTCCAGCAGTTGAAATCTGCAATTCCTCAGGATAGTTCTGTCCACCAGGTGAAATCTACAATCCCTCAGGATAGTTCTATCCAACAGTTGAAATCTGCAATCCCCCAAGATAGTTCTGTCCAACAGTTGAAATCTGCAATCCCTCAGGATAGTTCTGTCCAACAGTTTAAATATGCAATCCCTCAGGATAGTTCTGTCCAGCAGGTGAAATCTGCAATCCCTCAGGATAGTTCTGTCCAGCAGTTGAAATCTGCAATTCCTCAGGATAGTTCTGTCCACCAGGTGAAATCTACAATCCCTCAGGATAGTTCTATCCAACAGTTGAAATCTGCAATCCCCCAAGATAATTCTGTCCATCAGGTGAAGTCTGCAATTCCTCAGGATAGTTCTATCCAACAGTTTAAATCTACAATCCCTCAGGATAGTTCTGTCCAACAGTTGAAATCTACAATCCCTCAGGATAGTTCTATCCAACAGTTGAAATCTGCAATTCCTCAGGATAGTTCTGTCCATCAGTTGAAATCTACAATCCCTCAGGATTGTTCTGTTCAACAGTTGAAATCCACACTCCCTCAGGATGTTTCTCTCCAACAGTTGAAATCTGCAATTCCTCAGGATAGTTCTATCCATCAGTTGAAATCTACAAACCCTCAGGATAGTTCTGTCCAACAATTGAAATCTGCAATCCCTCAGGATAGTTCTGTCCAAAAGTTTAAATCTGCAATCCCCCAAGATAGTTCTGTCCAACAGGTGAAATCTACAATCCCTCAGGATAGTTCTGTCCAACAGTTGAAATCTGCAATCCCTCAGGATAGTTCTATCCAACAGTTGAAATCTGCAATTCCCCAGGATAGTTCTATCCAACAGGTGAAATCTGCAATTCCCCAGGATAGTTCTGTCCAACAGTTGAAATCTGCAATTCCCCAGGATAGTTCTGTCCAACAGTTGAAATCTGCAATTCCCCAGGATAGTTCTGTCCAACAGTTGAAATCTTCAATCCCTCAGGATAGTTCTGTCCAACAGTTGAAATCTGCAATCCCTCAGGATAGTTCTGTCCAAAAGTTTAAATCTGCAATCCCTCAGGATAGTTCTATCCAACAGTTGAAATCTGCAATCCCCCAAGATAGTTCTGTCCAACAGTTGAAATCTACAATCCCTCAGGATAGTTCTGTCCACCAGGTGAAATCTACAATCCCTCAGGATAGTTCTGTCCAACAGTTGAAATCTGCAATCCCTCAGGATAGTTCTATCCAACAGGTGAAATCTGCAATCCCTCAGGATAGTTCTGTCCACCAGGTGAAATCTACAATCCCTCAGGATAGTTCTGTCCAACAGTTGAAATCTGCAATCCCTCAGGATAGTTCTATCCAACAGGTGAAATCTGCAATCCCTCAGGATAGTTCTGTCCAACAGTTGAAATCTGCAATCCCTCAGGATAGTTCTATCCAACAGTTGAAATCTGCAATCCCTCAGGATAGTTCTATCCAACAGTTGAAATCTGCAATTCCCCAGGATAGTTCTGTCCACCAGGTGAAATCTGCAATCCCTCAGGATAGTTCTGTCCAACAGTTGAAATCTGCAATTCCTCAGGATAGTTCTGTCCAACAGTTGAAATCTGCAATTCCTCAGGATAGTTCTGTCCAACAGTTGAAATCTGCAATTCCTCAGGATAGTTCTGTCCAACAGTTTAAATCTGCAATCCCTCAGGATAGTTCTGTCCAACAGTTTAAATCTGCAATTCACCAGGATAGTTCTATCCAACAGTTGAAATCTGCAATTCCCCAGGATAGTTCTATCCAACAGTTTAAATCTGCAATCCCTCAGGATAGTTCTGTCCAACAGTTGAAATCTGCAATTCACCAGGATAGTTCTATCCAACAGTTGAAATCTGCAATTCCTCAGGATAGTTCTGTCCAACAGTTGAAATCTGCAATCCCTCAGGATAGTTCTGTCCAACAGTTGAAATCTGCAATTCCTCAGGATAGTTCTGTCCAACAGTTGAAATCTGCAATCCCTCAGGATAGTTCTGTCCAGCAGTTGAAATCTGCAATTCCTCAGGATAGTTCTGTCCAACAGTTGAAATCTGCAATTCCTCAGGATAGTTCTGTCCAACAGTTGAAATCTGCAATTCCTCAGGATAGTTCTGTCCAACAGTTTAAATCTGCAATCCCTCAGGATAGTTCTGTCCAACAGTTTAAATCTGCAACCACTCTGGATAGTTCTGTCCAACAGTTGAAATCTGCAATTCCTCAGGATAGTTCTGTCCAACAGTTGAAATCTGCAATTCCTCAGGATAGTTCTGTCCAACAGTTTAAATCTGCAATCCCTCTGGATAGTTCTGTCCAACAGTTGAAATCTGCAATTCACCAGGATAGTTCTATCCAACAGTTGAAATCTGCAATCCCCCAAGATAATTCTGTCCATCAGGTGAAATCTGCAATTCCTCAGGATAGTTCTATCCAACAGTTTAAATCTACAATCCCTCAGGATAGTTCTGTCCAACAGTTGAAATCTACAATCCCTCAGGATAGTTCTGTCCAACAGTTGAAATCTACAATCCCTCAGGATAGTTCTATCCAACAGTTGAAATCTGCAATCCCCCAAGATAATTCTGTCCATCAGGTGAAATCTGCAATTCCTCAGGATAGTTCTATCCAACAGTTTAAATCTACAATCCCTCAGGATAGTTCTGTCCAACAGTTGAAATCTACAATCCCTCAGGATAGTTCTGTCCAACAGTTGAAATCTGCAATCCCTCAGGATAGTTCTATCCAACAGGTGAAATCTGCAATCCCTCAGGATAGTTCTGTCCAACAGTTGAAATCTGCAATCCCTCAGGATAGTTCTATCCAACAGTTGAAATCTGCAATCCCTCAGGATAGTTCTATCCAACAGGTGAAATCTGCAATCCCTCAGGATAGTTCTGTCCAACAGTTGAAATCTGCAATCCCTCAGGATAGTTCTATCCAACAGTTGAAATCTGCAATCCCTCAGGATAGTTCTATCCAACAGTTGAAATCTGCAATTCCTCAGGATAGTTCTGTCCATCAGTTGAAATCTACAATCCCTCAGGATAGTTCTGTCCAACAGTTGAAATCTACACTCCCTCAGGATAGTTCTATCAAACAGTTGAAATCTGCAATTCCTCAGGATAGTTGTATCCATCAGTTAAAATCTACAAACCCTCAGGATAGTTCTGTCCAACAATTGAAATCTGCAATCCCCCAAAATAGTTCTGTCCAACAGGTGAAATCTACAATCCCTCAGGATAGTTCTGTCCAACAGTTGAAATCTGCAATCCCTCAGGATAGTTCTATCCAACAGTTGAAATCTGCAATTCCCCAGGATAGTTCTGTCCAACAGTTGAAATCTGCAATTCCCTCAGGATAGTTCTGTCCAACAGTTGAAATCTGCAATTCCCCAGGATAGTTCTATCCAACAGTTGAAATCTGCAATCCCTCAGG